ACTACGATAAGGTGACCATTTGCACGAATTCATTAGCATTTATAGCCGCGCTTGCAGAGCAAAAAACATATCATATCTGGTCGTATATAGCTACAAAAAAAAATTGTTCTGAAAAGCCGTTTAACAAGAGACTTTGGGCCGTTTTTAACTAACGGTTGATTTGTATAACCAACTACTGAATATTTTTTAGTTTCTTCGCTATAGCAAAGATATTTCTTCTTATGCCCAAAGAAACTGGCTTCAGTGCTGCGTTCTATGTAGCATTCAATTCGACCTTGCGACGTATAGCCAGACATATCTTAGATAATAAAAAAAAAAAAAAAAAAAAAGAACCGCTTTAATATTCAGAGAATACAATTCAAAGTACGCGAAGCTTTGTACCGGTATTACACTACATTCGCAGGATAGAATTATGTTTACTTTTGTCCAAAACTCACTAGAGCTTCCGTACTTCGAAATATGTGCTTCGTTACAGCTGTCTTTATTTAGAACTAGTTGACATATTGCTGGGCAGGATGGAGATCACTTTTCGAACCATATGTAGGGCCTCGAAAATTAGAAGATTTTTGAGGTGATTCTTCATATGTTATGAGGTGCTTGAAGTCTACCCAACTTAAGTTTTCGTAAGCGAACTAGCACTGCATTTTTCTTTATTTGAGCGACTCGTGTTTTTCGAAACAAACGAACCGATTTGTGTTTTTGGAACCTGCCCTATATTTTTTCAATGACAGTTTGTGTCAATGCTGAGGCTGTCAATCTGAAGTTTTCGTCAACTGATATAGCATTTAGCATCACATAGTGTTGTTATCTGTACATTTTAAACACAAAACGTCAGAGATTCTAAAGCTTCAGTTCCGGATTCTGATTCTTTCGAATCGGTGCTGTTATTATTGCAACGGCTAATACACTAAAACCTGAGTGTCAACTATAGACAAATATAAAATAGCGACTCCGGAGAATGTTCGAGTGAACCAATGATAAAAGCAAGACCCAACAGGTCGAACTACAGCAGTTCTCTCGCATGAACCCGAATTATCTTTCATGGTTAGCCTGGGTCGCGTAAAGCCAATTATGAAAACAATATTAGATTTAAATCTGTGGATGATAGCGCCAAATTTATCACAAAACAGCTTCAATTGAAAGTTTTTTTTTTACGTTAGGCAGTTACCAACAGGTTAGCTTTTGTCGATGAAATTGTTTATATTTTAGTATCAGACATATTTTGCTATTCGACGTAATGGGCCCATTTGTTATGGCCAAGGGAATGACTGACGGCGGCGACGACTGCTGATCACAGGCGTTTGTACCCAAAGCTGACTTTGGCAATACCCATGAGGGATCAGCATTTTGTGCCCTTCTACAGAAAGTTATCACATCCCTAGTGTTTACGGTAAATTTGAAAAGCCCTGTACTATCTATCAGATCAAGTTTTTATTATTGTCCTATTACTAATCAATATTTTAACTTGGTAATCGTCGTGAGACTTTGTTTATTTTTGCTATTTTTTTTATTTTGCTATCATCAAAATAAGGTGTATTATTAGTGAAGTAAAAGCGTTAAGAGATGGTAAAAAAACTTGGATGTCTGCAGGTAACTTTTACATTTTGCAGTATCATTTTTAAAAGTGATACCGTCAGATGTAAGTCAGAGGAACGATAAATGTGCGCGTTTATGGAACCATTAATATTTAATTCTATCATGTCAGAACCGCATGGTATGGTGAATGAACATTTTACTGATCATCGTGTAACTCAGGAAATCTGAACGTAAACTTGGATCTTGTCATTTTATTATTAATTGTAAAATAGGAACTATGATATCAAAAACTCGATGGACTTTTCTGACGCATTGTCCATAGCCGTTCATCCAGGTTGGGGTGCTCGTATCTATCCATCTTACCTTGAGAGACGTCTGGTGAAAGCCGTCCTGCCCCGCGATCAAGCGGATCATCTGCAGGTGAGTTAAGTAAGTCTCTAATGAGAAAAGACTTTCGGCTTGTGCCAACACTTTCCAGAAAACCATCACTCATTACGGCATCCGCAGCTAATGTGCCGCTAGTAATATCGCCCGGCTTGCCTCGCGGTTTGCACAACAATTTTTTCCACATGAAACCTGCAATGCTTTAGGTACAGAGGGATTTATAAGCCAAATTTGTCCTTTGTCTCTATGAATCTCTGCGCTACAGGATCTTCGTGCTCCTCTTGCAAGGAAACGCAGTCCGCAGCCGCTCTTCTTCAGCGACAAGGCCACATGGATTGTTCACTTCACGTCGAGAATGTCATTTTTATTATGTAGCTCGTTAGAGCTTTGGAAGGTAACGTGCTGCAACTAAACGGAATTACGCTTTCGTAACAACTAGCACCAGTGCGGCCAGCGTAGAGGTTCCCGAAAAGTGCTTTAAATTGCATTGGGTATAAGTCAAAGTTTGACACGCGCAAAATGTAACACTAAGATATTCCAGTTTCTCCCCATCAAAAACGACTTTTCGCGCGCGTGTTTAGAGTGACAAAAAGTGCTCGACTGCGGGGCGGAGCTGCGCCTGCGCAGAGGTTCATAAGGGCTGTACCCAACGGGTTTAACTCTAGACCTTCTGCGGAAAGTTACATCATTATCGAATTATTATGGCGGATTGGCACCAGCAAATCTTCGCAGGTCAGCTCTTGAGCGTAGAGACTGAACTGTATCAAATCCTGTGAGGCAATGGTTTAAACTTGCAAAGAAATGTGATGAAAGCTAGACTAGTTTAGCGGTGGCATTGTGAACATTTTCCTCCTTTGCCCTTTTTCTCCTAGAGAAGACCAGGGTTGCACGACATTGCTAGGATTTGCTTTGTAGCTAAGGGGCGGGGCCTGCGCGTCAGGCATGTCAAGAGGTCCACGAAGGCGGAGCTTCAAGGGTCAAATAGCGAAAGTGATTCTTTGCCGTTTCGATCGGTCTTTCTCGCCTTGGGTCCCAGCGAGCTTGCCGCCTCAATATCGAATTCTATTTTAGATAAGATCGGATAGTATTTTGGGAATTCTTCTTTCTTGCATGCAAGCCTCCATTCGTCGAGCTGCAGGAATCCGTCATGACGACGTTGAGATGTTTGCATTCGAACGGTGAGGAGCTCCGCGACCCGCAGGCGTTCCCCCGCTTGAGAGCATGTTTAGCGTCTTCGCACTGTGTTCCCGATGTGCGTATACGTCAATGTTCTACGTCGGGTTCGTTTTACTTTTGCCGCTGAACTCCTCAATAGATGACGGCCGTGTTGATGATGCCGAAAGTCAGTTATTTCCTAAATTGCTTTCGTCGTGCGGTTTTATGTGGGAACGGCGGCCGTTGCCACTGCGCGCAGCAATTTCGTTCTATTCTACATATTTCTATAGCAAAAACCCCAGCGTTTCTATGGGGCATCAGATCCGCACCCACCGTGAAGAAGACATCTCTGAAACCCTAACAGTATCCTCCTCTTGGCTTTTTTCACTTAGCCTTCTCCCTCTTTCGCTTCCTAGCCGCGTTACAATGGAGCGTATCAACCAAGTACTGATATGGTTTCCACTTCACATCCACCTAGGGACAGCATAGCAGCCTCTTGTTCTCGTTGCGGTTTATTAGTGGTTTGCAGTCTTGATACGTCGTGCAGCTCGGTTTCACCGTAGTAGCCGGTGCAAGCCTCGACGACAACAACATGAAAATGCGCTGTTTTCCTCCGCCTAAGACTTATGGGGGTTTCTGATGGTCTGGAGCGAACAATGATATGCCTGCGTATATTTGTCCATATTCGTTCTCAGCCGCTGGCTTACCATAGACATTCGTACGTTCTCGATCTTTTTGAGTCTGCTTTTCCTTCTATCTGTCCTTCAAAATTTCTTGTTGCTGGGAACTAGCGCTTCCCCATGTTCGAGCTCCTCCCTCATATTGATTTTCGCTTTGGACTGAACCGGCAGACGGAGGTGCAATCGGGGCTCGAGAGAATGTTTTGGCGATCGAAGCGGCAGGAGAGCATAGTCACATTTCAGTTCACAGACACGGCCAGCTTTCGAAGTCAGGAGGTTACTTCGGGTTCGAAACGAAGATGATGTCAATGATGGACGATGCCAGATCGACAGGACGCGAAGCGAACATTGGAGCGTGTAAATGGTGTTGGATGAATTCGAACAAGCGCGCACGTATCTCCGCACCGGCGATATCGCACTGTCGTCGGAAGAATTTTACCCTCCAAGCGAGTCATGTAAATCGCGATATCACTACGGATTTTGCGTACATTGAAACATTTTCAGTCGAGGTGAAAAAGACGTGGTAGTAGCTCATTTCAACATCATTCAATGTCGGCATTTGCAGGCATGCCAAACAAGGGTACGAGCGATGTAGGTAGACGAAATTAAAAACATACACTGAGTAAACATTTCAAAGCGTATTATACTTATGGACGGTAGAATATAAAGATTTGATCGAAGTTCTCAGACATAACGAGCAGTTCCGTAAATGACCCGTGAATGAATTTTTATTTACCACGTAGTCACGTCATGTACACTGATCACGTAAATCACGTGTCTCCACAACAGCAATATTAAATTATTGGCGGAATAATGACAATCGTTTTTTTCGGATGGTGAAACTTCAGCTATACACTGACAGCCTGAATCAGTCGTCAAAAAACTGTTTCGTATTCGATGAAATCTCGAAAGCGTTCGTCAAATTTCTCGTGCAAATCGCGAAAAAAATTGCAAAATCGTGTAAAATTACGTTTTGCACGATTCGTACATACAATTTCCTAACTAACTAAATAGACGAAGTGGCTCTCGTCACGCAAAAATGTCGCGTCGCCTTATGATTAATTATAATTAATAAAATTATTGGAGTGTTTTTGTTTGACCAAAAACATTCAAATCATATGAGCAACAAGGACCGTTTATGTGTCATTCTAGAACCTCTTCTGCCCTAAATCTGAGCTTCGTAATACCTCTTCGGTTGATAATTTACGCATTACATACAAGCGAACTCCAGAAAAAACGCATTGATCTGTGAAAGAGTGCTTTATTACGTTCTCCACGACCATCGGTAGAGGATCTTGTTCTACGCGTTCCTATTGCTGTTTTTGCAGAATTTTTCTATTTCTTTACTGAAAAAGACGCCTACGTCTTCTGTGCGTTTACATACTACGGTCATCTGGATCGTACACGTCTAAAAACAAGTTTTTCAAATCAACCGGAAACACCGTGAATCATTGTCTGTATAGCAGACAGATAGTATGTACAGTCTATTTATAGGTGCGTAACACAATAATAGAAGATGCGCTACACTGAAGGAAACAGCAAACCGAGAAAAGTCGACATTCGGTTAAGTTCCATTTTAAAGAACCTGTACCTGCTTCTGGATGGCTAGCAAACCGAGGTCTTTTGATTTTGTTAAGTATGTATTCGAGCTTCGTCTCCGTCGTGCTTGCTCGTCAAAGCTTCGTGGTCGTTTCTTCATAAGTAATGCCTTCTACTTCAAGCCGCTTCAGAATTGGACTGTAGATTTCCGACTGAAGCGGTAAAATCATGCCCTTTTGCTGAATCTCGCCTGGAAAATCCCCACAGAACACGTCGACTAAATTCAACACTTGCTAATTCATTTCATCCAGCTGCATGTAACCTCAATTATTGATTTCAAGTTTCGAAAAAGATTACTTGTACAAAGTAATCTTGTCAAACAAATGTTAATATATAATTAAAATAAGCCCCATCTATCTCTTTGGTACAGAGATTATTACATTGGGGCTTTAGCAAAGCCCCAGTAATCATCCAGGAATCGATCTGGAGGAAAAGCCTATTTCTGCTGTTTTGTCCGAATCATTTACCCTCGAGGATCATTTTCGCGGCGATGGCGCACGGATAACCGACGGTCTTTGCCATGGCCGAATAGCCGCATGTCTCGCCGTAGGCGACCATGTTCACGTGGCGCATCTCTCTCTCCCCGTCGCGCCACTCGATGCCGATGTTATGACGCAGGATAACCAGGTCGCGCTCGCCTGGCCCTGTAAAGTTAAATAGATAAAAACGTATTGGGGTATCTTATAAATGTCAATACGTTCAACTAAAGGAGAGCCGCTTTGCCAAGTATTCGATCGGGATGTTAGCTACTTATACACGTCTTTGTTCCCAGGATAATACAGTCGTTTGTTCTGGACTGTCCACTCCAGGCTATTTGCAGCTGTAAGCACGATGTACTTAGAAATGTTCGAAATTATGCGGAAGCTGAATTTGAGAATAACGCAAAAAGTAAACAACGTATATGTCTGTTATTCGCCTTGTTACCAATTAAACACTCGGTTTTCCTAAACTCAGTTTTCTTGCTAAAGCCGAAAGTCTCCTGTCAGTGACGATAATTTCTACAATACACTAACTCTTTAGCCTGATACAGGCATTCAGGCACATCAGAGCACATCAGAGGTGGACACTGTAAATACTCACGTCGATCAAATAAAATAGAACAGTGAGTTGATCTTGATAAATAAGCGAGCGTCGGCTAGAGATCATACCCGGAAGTGTTCATCAGTAACCACCATTAAAGCTTGAAACTATAAGGAATAGTCCTGTATTCCAGAACTGCAGCAAAAATTGAAAACTTACCATATGAAAGTTTCTTGGAGAGGTAATGCGTTAGGGTGTCCATAGGTGTCGTCTTCTTGTCAATAGGCATATCGGATATTAATCCTAGTTTATCGAGAGCTTCAGCTCTAGCAGTATCTTTTCCAAGGTAGTCAAAAACGAGATTTTTTACGTTCGACGTGAGGAGATCTGTTTGCTGGCCCATTAATTGAGACATAAATTGTTTCTGAAAAAATAGTTTTCAAGCGGGTGATACGCTACGATGCGTGCATCCATATCGATGATACAGACGTCGTAACTGCTGCGATGGTAACATAGGCATTCAACTTAAATATCGAATAGAATCGGCACACCTGATCACATTGTTGCTAAACTAACTTAAATATATAATATTATAAAAAAATAATAATAAACAACCTTATTAGATATTTGTTTCTGCCGCTATTTGATCTCCCGTTAACATCAGGCTTCCAATTAGTCTGAGGCAAAAATATTTGACACTTCGAAAGGCGTCACTTAATAGTTGTGCCTTTTGAAGCGTTCGAGAAACTTTCTTAACTGTAACTAATCCTTTTCTAGGGTGTTTTGCCTCACCCCGTATATTCTAGAAAACGAAGGCTAAATGGACCAACACATCCAAACTGTGCCATAAACAGAAGGAGCGGCGCTGGTTCGCACACGTTCAATAGAAGACGTTCTCTCCTCGTCCCCCCACCCCACATTTATCGGTACCACCGATGTTGTTGCTGCCTCATTCGTTACTATAAGCAACTAGAAGAAAGCAGAACGTACCACAACCGTCATCAGCGTATATATGGCACGGTAAAGATTACGACGGCATTTTCCCCCAAAAAATAACACCTTTGGACAGTATTGCAGCTTCAGTGGAAGTTCAGCTGGTAGCTACTGTTATTGCAACCGCTTGCATTGTTGATATTGTTGCTGAAATTAGTTGTCGCTTCCGCCGTCGCAGACGTTCCTCTGATCGTACGAGTAGTTCAACGCCCCTGAAGCTGCTCCATCTTCATTTGACTTCGCGATCGTTATCTGCTGCTCTGTATGTTACCGCATGGAAATTTCTATAATTCCTCTACAAGTATGTATATGCATTACATAACAATATGGTCTGCAAGATGCACTTTTTTACTGCTACGTTGCTACAGCAGCTGTTACAGTGGTCATCGCTTAATGAATTATGTCGTGAGTATCGAAGTGATTGTTTGGAGTGGCAGCGATCCAAGCGCTTCTGCGGCGGTGGTATCGATTCGCCATTTATCTAATGGGGTAGAATAGGTCTGTGCGCGTTTTTCTCGTTTTCTTCGGGGACCATTCGGGTGCAGACAGGGACGAAGGGTCTTGCCATTTGACTCAAATATTAGCCTCCTTTTTGCCTTTCTACACAAGCTAGCGTTCGACATTATTGCTGCTCGCCGTGCTACCACAATTATGTTACCTATAAAATGTCGTTCTAATAGCTGTGGTGGTATGGCTAAAACCGGTTATTTTTGGGGGCAAACCAGAGGTGAGGTTCGCAGCCATTATCGTTAACCATCGGTATCAACTAGGCATGTCCACTGCTTTGGGAATAAAGGGATTCTACGTTTATGTCAATCACTATCACTGATGAGGCAATGAATGAAACTAAACTATCCTCTGTAGCCGCCCTCGTCTAGGAATTATCTAACCATAGCTTTTTATTGAATTTTTAAGTCAATAAATGCGAAGGGAAAGGATGAAGAAATCGTTCGTTTTTCGGTAACGCTGAGCGACTGAGCGGGCCCAAAATTGTTTTCGTCACAAGATTAGTAATATATAAATAAACATCTATTGTATATACACATGTAGATAGAGAAGCAAGCGATTGAATGAGTGAGTGGATGGATGAAGTACTGCCCACGCCATGAGATGGCCATCTTCTTCAAATCCATACTCAAAGATACTCAGATCCGTAAATGCACGGTAGTCTCAGCACAGGTGTTGCTGTAGCAGAGGTAGTATTTGTAGGGGCGGCATACAAACGCGGGCAACATCATAAATGATTCACAAGGTCGAAAAAGTCGACGGACTAAGACTTGCTGGGTTGTTGCGGAATTGTCAGGTGAAATCCGGGACAGTAAACGAAATCGATAGGCCGCAACATACCATGAAATCATGCATTGTTACAGGCTATTTATGATAATGGTTACTGCTGACGATATGGCCTGGCATTGTTGTCGTTAGCGTTATTCTAGAAAAGGCGGCTGCTGTAACACTGACAAAATCAAAAAGGCTGAAAACTATTCTACAGCTATATTGGGTACGCTTGAACAAAGATAAATATCGAGGTCGAAACGCGGAAATAACTACGAATGGTGTAGAATTCGGTGCTTACAATTCGGAAATAAGAGATCAGTAAGAAATTAAACGTAACACGTATCTGAAGCGAATGTACTGCCAGAGCTCAACAGAATTACCGTGTGTACCAGTTCGTGAAAACAAACGTATGGAAGGCTCTTTTTTATTTAGATTTACCTTACTTACAGGTTGCTGTTGGAACTTACCCAAGAAATCTCCGGACCGCGGGGATGAAGTGTTGGGTGAGGTTCGTCACTGAACAGTCCCATCATATGAAGGCCTTTTGTCGCATTGCAGAACCCCTTGTACCGAAGGGTACCCCGTATAACGGTTCGCGCACTCTGAATGGCATACATATCCCTATAAATCGTTGAATCACGATTCGGGTAACCTTCGAGAGCGAATCCGGGTAGGAAATCAATTGCTTCGACATTGTCCAAAAGAGCGCCGCCTTTTTCGATTTCAATCACCTTGCCTTCCTTAAGGTACCTTGCCCAACCCATCGTGCCGATTAGGGCAGAGCGGGGACTCCAGCTAAACTTATACCTGAACACAGAATGTATAATACAGGTAAGTAAGAAATAAAAATATCAATAGCGATCAGATTAGCTTACACCTACGTTGATTTTGTCGTACCTCGGAATATAAAAAATATCACTGCACCAAGGAGAACAAAAAAACGCAGTTGGAAGTTAATATGTGAAAGCTACTCGAGTGCAATAGCTCTCACCTAAGTTTAAGGTTAGTGACCCAGTTATGATTTTGCGTTAAGCGCATAGATAATCAATTACACCTGTTAAATACATCTTTCTGAAAGCATTATTTCCGACTAGAAGTCATTGCCTTAGCCAAACTCACCTGCTGACGACTTTAACTCTACTTTAATGGCACTCACCGTAGTGGGTTATCGCAATGCTCGGGTGCGGGCAGACCGCCACAGAAGGATACAAATGAAGTGATCTTGCCTCCGTTCAAACGAACCTGATCGAAGCACTCCATAGCAAGCATGTGATCGATACCAGGATCAAGACCTACCTCGTTCATAACTGTGATGTTAGCTTTGGTGGCACTAAACACAGACCACAAGAGAAACAAGCTCGATTTACTCTAAATAAATAGCTTTATTCAATCCTAGTAATGCATAAGAGGTGTACTAAATCCTCGATTAATTTACAGGTTTCTCTGCTTGTTCACTAAATCGACCGCGTTAAACTTACGCCTCATGTAGTTCGCGAAGTTCCGGTAAGAGGTATGACGCGGTCACCATATTGGTCTGATGGTCAATACAGAACTCGGCAACTTTAGAGTGTAAGGAGTACGGAAGGAGCGAGATGACCAGATCGTTCTCCTTAATTAAATTTGAAAGTCCGTTAACCGATTCAGTTACGTCGATTACAGTAGCTTCAGCATTCGGGTACAGTCCGGCCAGATCTTCCGCTTCCTTCTGGATCGCCGAAGCTGGAATACATCAGCGTGATGATCAACACAGGTTATGGAGTCACGTTTCATCTCCTAGCATCTTACCTTATCCTGTAGAAATATCCTGACCTCGGTGTATTACCGATATGCATGCAACACATTTACCAACTCACCGACAGTCATTTGGATGTTATTATCTCGGCAAAGATACTCGACGAGCGGAGCCGAGACGTACCCGGCACCTAAACACAGAACCTTTTTTTCAGGCCCTTGGCTCGCTGTGACTTTCTTCATTGATCTGTGAAGATGTTTGAAGAGAAATGTTATGTCGTTAGGAAACATGCCACAGTTGTCCGTTACGGCGTAGTATCTTTGGCCTACCATTTGAACTATCCTGAGGTAGATTATTATTTTGCTTACCGGGAAGAAGTTGTTTGATCTTAAGCGATGTTGTGACTAGAATGCAAGCTTATAAAATGTTTGAAATCGTAAGGAGAGTGAAATCTCCAGCCGAATCCCCGAGATTTCGAGATAACGGGAAATAGCAACGAACGGGTTATCTGCTTGCGACAAGATAAGGGTTCCATAGAGACACGGCTCTTAGTGCCGATAATAGTAGAAATGGTACAAAAACACTATCAACATCTCAAACTTGATAGCATTTAGAAACTTGTACTTAAGACGAGGTCAACGTAAACGATACAAAATATTCGAATAAGTGCCGAGAATCCCAAGTATCACGGCGTTAAATGTAGTTAATCGTATCATGGCTCCTCCGGGGAATAAACAATTGCTTCCAAATGATGAACTTACCCAAAGTTAGCTTCCATAAATAACAATATATTGAAAGCAGACCGTTCACAAAATTAAAAATATACATGCAGATATCGGCCCTGGAACACAGCGGCGGCCTTCAATTAGCTCCATTTATTTATAGATATATTGATAATCTAACTAGAATTAGGACGACAGTAAAAAGCAATATATATATATATATAATATATATAATTTTAAAATAACTTAATTGTTTTGCTTAACGAATGCTTAAAGTAGCTACCTGAGTTTTATCTTTTTTACTAACTTGGACGTGTGTCGAAGTGTTGCGATATATTCGTAGTTTTCGGTCAGCCCCCCGTTGCTTGTGATAACCGCGTTTTTGACAACAGAGCTCATTTTGTTCTGATAAAAAGGGTCCTGCGCATCCGAGTCCAGCTGAAAATTCACGAGGAACCGTGAAATACTTCGTTAGTGTCGCATAGCTCGCACACAAAGCGGTGCATTAGGAGCAGCGCAAAGACCGTGAATCAATGACTCGTACCAAGCTATATTTTGCTCTCGAAGATATTTGTGGTTAGCGAAAGTACCCTAGATGGACTAAAAAACACCACAAATCAGAGGTGCCAGTGAGTTAATCTTGGGTCGATTTTATCGATCGATAATAAGGTCGATAATCGACAATAAGGTCGATCGATATCTTGATATCGATCGACCTTAATTGTCCGATTTTTGACTATGCAGGCCATAACTATGTCAGCAATAATAGAGCGAAAGCTTGATCTGTTGTTGCGTATCTGATTTAATTTATAAATCAGATAATATAATAAAATACTAATAATAAAAAAAAATATGGCTATACTACAGAACTTACGATATCCCAGATGTATGGCATGAGCAGCTTTCCAAAATAGTCCGTCGCTTCGAGCGGCAGTTGTGTAGGCATATTGTCAATAGAACAGACTAGTACTCCGGGACCAGAAAAACTGGGAACAGCGATAGTAAAACAATATAAAGGAATAGTTATTGCTCTGACAAGATGATAGAAATTCTTTGAAATCAGTCCGTCTTTAGAATCTCCGCACGTGATCAATGATCAACGTCCCGAAAGCCGTTTTGTGCTTAAACCATTCGCCATTGTCAACTATACCTTTCTCTGCTTTGGTGTTGGTCAGCGTCGTAGAGACAGAAAGGATAGTCGATCGTGGTACACTCCGTCATGAACTCAATCGAACCTCCGGGGTCGGCGGAAATGTCGCAGATAGCCAGAAGCCTATGGGGCAGAGATGGTGACCCCTGAGAGGACGGAAGCCATGGCGTATAGGTGGGCCGTAGAATTCGCTTTGCATCAGGAATAGTTATGAGCTTCGGCGAATTTACTGCCCAATAGATGCCATTGACGATTACTGACGCATATGGTGCGATCTGAAAATATATCGGATATAGGAAACTAGTGGGATTAGCGGGCCACAAAATCGATTCAGACGGCCATAATCGCAAGTTCAACTCGCGCACGTCATTCAATGGTTTTTGATATAGGACTGCCGCCCTTCCAAACACCAATACTTTCGCTAGAGTCCTATCGCCCGTAAGGTATTGGTAACACTTTTAAGCGTTTAGAGAAAGTTTATTGCAGTCTAATTTGAGTAAAATTTGGATCATCTTGGATCAATCAAATCAAAGCTTGGAACGGAAGGCCAGTATAATTGTTTAAAGGCTGCTAAATACTTACGTCCTTAGCGAAGGTCGAGTAATACCTTTCCGGGTGATCATCGCATTCCCCATAATCAAAACCTCCATCGGCTGCGCGTTTCCAGTGATCTTGACGAGTTACGACGGCTCCATACACCTTGTTCATTGCTGCCAAGAACGGAGTATAGAGATTTGATAAAGTCATAACGTATATAAATCACTGTCTTCATAACATCTGTTAATTCAATTCAACAATTGATAACACCGATGCCAGATTACGATTTCCAAAAGTTAGCGACATTTTACAGACCGTAGCAAAAGCCTCTAAACCTATTTAATGTTGGCGCTAGCGGAAATACTACGGGCAAAAGATGAACCTAGACAATCTATCGGCTTTCACATTCATAATACTGGTAAAATTATAGTACTCCGTTTTTCGCGCTTGTCTACCGCGCCTTTACGTGGCGTCGTGAAACCTATGCTTTGAGAAATCAAGAACGTGGTGAAGTACATGTTACAAATGTTTGTCAGTGGCAAGCTTAGCAATATAGAGAGATAAAACAGATTATCTGCAGTTGCGAACTTACATCCAACTTTACACACTTCCGGCAAGTCCTTCGGATCAACGTATTCGAATGGCATTTCCTGAAATACTTCCTGGGCACCCTGCAAAATTTCTCGCAAATAACATTAACATGTACAAATAAAACTCAAGAGCTGTTGTTTATACGGTATTAATAATAATTAGATCGTCAAGGAGCCATGGACGAGATAATTGTATATATATATATATATATATATATATATATATGGAGAGAAAATCCAGGTTAAGTTCCATTAGCGGTATCCATACACTTGTGTATACACCACGATTTTTATTCTAATATATTCTTAACCCAAGTGTATAATAGTCTACAGATTCAAAAAGAACTACTATACAACGACTGAAGAAAAATGCTTACATAGTTACAATGACATAGCGGGGATAAAGCCAAATCTAAAGCACACGTTCGTTGAGCATTTCGCCAGCTCGCTGCTGGTCATCGCTGTAAAACGTGGTCTTATACTTTTTACTTTACCTGTGATACATTTCCGGATCCGGTAAATACAAATGTTAGCGGGCCAATGGAGCGTGGCATCATGCCCAGAGCGATTTCATATCCCGCGTCCCGAACTGCCTGACGCCCCATACCGCTGTTCCTGTAGTTGTGTGCGGGACCCACATGCTAACGAGAGGATACAAGACGCAAAATCATTCTTGGGGGTACCTCCTAATACATTCAAGATCTAATATGTACCCGAAATATCTTAATTATTATTAATTGTTATAACTGAAGCTAGCAAAGCAGCAGTTAGACAGCTGGGCCATGCCTGTGATTAAGTAGAATAACAGGTATGGCCTACTTACCATAAACGGGGTATGGTGTCCTAGCGCGAGTAGACGCAGGCCAAGACCATGCAATATATTGATCATACCAGCCTTACCGGCGTACTTCCCAAATGCAACCACCCGCTGGCCTTGTTCATCACACATGCGTTCGTAGTCTATTAAACGAATGTTCTATTTAAGAAAAATTCACAAGAACAATACTTTCATTTTGAATTTGAGTGAGTGAGCGACACATTAGTCCTTAGGCCATAGTGCACTGCAATGGCGTGTCGATTATGAACTTTTCTTTGGCGTAAAAATGTTTTTATATATATATATATATAAAAAATGTTGCAATAATTTTTGCCTAGGTCACCCTACGCCGCATATACAACCTGAACAACCGTATTTGATATAATGACACCTTATGTTTTTACCAGCCCATTTGTCGATAGAACATAGCTGTGATAATTCCCCATGACTTGCCTTCTTCGATAACTCATATACATACACACAAACTAAGCTGTATATATGTAGCTAACACTGCAATATTAACGTTTCGTTTGCCGCTCTACTCCATTTTGTAGAGCGGCAAACGGGCTCGAAAGAGAACGTGTTCTGATACACGTAATCAACACTAATTCACGCATGCGTTTTGATGCAAAAGAAATACAGGCACGTTCCCTCTAATTGCTGGCACGTGAACGGAAGTTTACTCACCCTTTCGATACAAGCATCAAGTAGTGGCATATTCGCTTCCTGACCTTTGATCGTGTGCGAAAAGAAACAATACGTTTTGTTCGGATACAGCTGGTCAACGGGCACTTGTTTCACTCCGATAATAACCGGTGCATCGCTGATGTCCTCCTGGATCACTGCTCCAGCGTGCACGTAACTCTGAAGGGGATACGCACGCCGGTTTGACGGCTGAATCATCACCTTGACGCCGGCCTTCGTCAGTCGGCGAACATCTTCGGGTCCCAGCGGGGCACGACGTTCCCACACTGACTGATCCTCACGTCGAATCCCAACAACCTAACGTAAAAATAGATCCACGTCAAAGAGTTGCGAAAAATGTCTAGTATCGTTATGTTAAAATGGAAAGATCTTTTTTCTAATGCTTTTCAATAGAAGGTCTCCAGTTCCTATATTTCCCATACAACCGGTTCTAAACTACGGAAAACCACGATTGTTAAGTAAATTCTTTTTCCATTTTGTTGTTGCATAGTGTTAACAAATGATAATAGCATCAACTGTCATCCCCGCTGTTTAACATTTTTTTGTCCTGGTTACCGCTTCGTTTAGCACGCCAAGTACTTGTTACCTTGTACAATACGGTGTCACCATCAAGTGACGATGCGTTCTTACCCGCTGTGTGCCGGCGGCAGTGTGCTTAGCCGAGCACCGAATTCCGATAGTGCTTCGGAGTGCTCCGAGGTTCAGAGACTTTGTCAACCTCAGCAGAGGCGACATCTTTGTTCAAAGGTAGCCTGCTCCAATACTACGCACACACGGCACTATTGGCGAACTCCGCTAAAATACGATTCCTGGTAATTTTCTCACCCTTCGTACCTCTAAATTACACGCAGTTGAGGTAATTCGAATTGTCCGCTTTCTTCTTTCTTATAATGCTCGTTTACGCGTCTCGTAGTCGACAGTGCGCCCACTTTTTCAGTACGTGCATGTGGAGTTTGCTTATTTATGCTTGCACGTCCAGCGTTATCGAGTTTCGTACGGATAGGCCTAACTTTTTCCAGTGACAATGACCGCTGTGAAAGAAGAGGCTCCCTGTGTCTGCACTGCTTTAACGCTTGCCATTGTCGAAGTGTCCTGTTGCATTCGTGTGCCTACTAGCGCTTTCTTCTTCCTTTCTCAACAACAGCAGCAACGATATTTAATATTTCAGCCTCGAATCTCTTTTTCTCGATAGGTTTCGGGCGTCCAACGGTGGCTTCGACCCGCTGGAAATTGCCCTGAGCCCGCTGCTTATCTCGACGCCGCTGATTTTTTTGTGATCGCAGCTGCGCCGCTGTACGGCGCCGTCTTCCTAACGGTTCCCCTCCTTTCGTAGACGGCTACGGCTGTGGCTAACGTGTCTTAGAACTTGCCGTGCAGCGAAAAACAGAGGAGGCTGACGTGTATCTATCTAATCTATCCTTTCGCACGATGAGTTCACTCGTTGCGGCGATCCACATGAACAGTGTTTAGGTTGTCCCGAAAGGATACCACTGCTCTGACTACAAAGCTGTAATTTTTTTTATGGGTACATTAAAAGACAGTTCATACAGAATCGTTCGAAGTTTCGAGGGCAAACCGTGAGGACAAGCTCTGCACTTTGGATAGATAAATCTTAGCTAGATCCATTAGTAGCTAGTCCGTATAAAGGTGGGAAATTGCTGCGTATTCAGCCACTCTACTTTTGCCGAGAAACAAAACTTGGCAAAAGGTATTGTCAATGCCTTAGGTAAACTTCTTTATTTCTAAAGGTTCATTGTCATTGCGAAGGCGCGCAAGCAGCTATAATAGCAACGACCCTGTCAGGAACAGATATTGATACTTGTTAGTCTACTATGACAAACATTAACAAGCTCAATTTCCCAAGCAGAAAATATTTAGATAATCGGTCTGTGTGAGTACTTCGGTAAAATGTATAATATGACAGGCAATCTTGAACCACTCATAAGTTTTGTTCTTCCGTATTATGATGTTCGTTCTCTGTTAAATAGATATTTAAGTAACTTCTATATAGTTGCATATTCTTGTAAGTCCATTGTTGGTTAAATATAAGGAGTGAGTGTCAATTTAATTCATATTTACGAGACAAATAAAAACAACATAAAAGCAAGGTGTATCAGACCTGGAATCATTGCCATTGGGTCAGTTTTTCGAGAAAAATTATTACCGCTCTTCGCCCAACAACTTTAACAGCTTGTAATCGTACTGTAAAGCAAATTGATTTTATGAAAGAGTCTCTTACGGGAAGCTTCGCAAAAAAAAAACAAATTCTGACCTAAGTTGAGCTAAGTGAAGTTTTGAGTAACTCTTTCTCATCATCTGAAATTCATTTAAAATAGATGATACGACTAATCATGTTCAGGGTAACCAAATGTGGACATCATTTCAGAAAATATGCCACACAGCTGTAACACTGTTTTAATGGCCCGTCAAGCCCACGTCCGTAACATCGCTGAAGTCTTCAAGCCTGAATGTATTTAATTTCTCATTAGCTTATGCCCATAATGATGTTCGTGATCGCCAACGTCAACGGACATAGCCATCTTGACATTTGACCCTGATTTGTACTAGCAGTAATGAAACTCAGTGGACCTTTGGTCGGAGAGGAAAAATTTACCAAAATAATCGTGGCCACTTAAGAGATGTTTTCCCGTCTTGAAGTAACACTCCCGGCAGGAATTTCGGTGTTAGATTATAGTAACAAAAGTCAACTCCGATATGATTGAATACTACCCTTTTCACGATAACTGATTCTCATTAACTGCTTTTTCTTCAAACGATTCTAGAAGCTCTTTTCTAAGACCTGCTTAAAAGGGTAGTCCCTTGGCCGTTTACTTCACGAAGCACGGTACAAGCCATTACCGTTGTTAAAGCATACACGTAATCAAGAAGCAACTGTATAGGCGTACTTGACTTGTTTTGTGAAGTCTAAATATTGGCACGCATTTGATTTCTGTCTCAGTGCTCATAGGAGGGATAGGTTAATCGAACATTTAGGCTTGTGCTTGTTTGATGAGGTACGTCAACAATTTAAACAGATGACAATGATGTTAAAAAACCCAGCCTGAACTTAAAAGAACGTAGAGTAATGTAAAATCACATAATGTTATGACCGTATAGCTCCATGTGAAGCTCACAAATATCGTTATATTCCGTAGAGTTCCCGTGTATGTTAACAGGCTGTGTGTAGAATAGTTTGCTCGCTATACAGTTTGATGAGTCGTCGCGAGTGCGGCACCAGGTACCATAGTGGCATATGAGATAGAAGAAGACCGTGTATGCAGCCATAGCCGTAATAAAAGTAAATTAGAACAAAACATACAATACATAATGATTGCATCTTGATTTTCTCTCTGTTCTCAGTTCTGAAGCCAGACTGTGTTTTTTTTTTAACACTTCCGCCTTAGATAGGTATTCTTTAGACGAATGGTTTCTTTCATACGAAACGAGGCGTGCACGTTCCAGGTTTCGAACCTCGGCTACCCCTCGTGAGTTCACACACGTGAGTAGGATTCCCTAAGATTCGCTAACTAAGTGTGAAAGAAAAACTGAGCACGATAAATGTGGCAAGACAAAGCTTGCAATAAAAAAAGGACAATGCTAGCAGGCCTACTTCAAGCGGCACGCTCATCAAAGTATAAAGTATCACCATCATAGACATCCCTTCCATTCGGTAGAAAAATCAGTAATTTAGTTAGCAATATTATATAGTGAGATTGGTGATGATGACAATGACTTTGTTAGATTTATTATATATATGGGATTCTAAAAGCTATATATATCAGAAACGCTTTGAGTTGTATGCCGTTTCCGGTCTACAAGTCACGAGTAATGTAATAACTAGCGAAATGCACACTTTTAAATTATATATGGAAAAACAGCTCAGATTCAGAAGGCAGAAATCTCGTTGATTTATCGACAGTGGAGTTGATGCTTGGTTCGGTCCAAAGTAGGGATGGGTAATCATATATATATATATATATATATATTTACGCTACGTAAATAAATTTGCGTTCCAAAAAAAACACCAAATATGTTTCCCATGGTAGTCTCTGGTGATTCATCGGGTTACAAAATATTAGCCAAATCTCTTGCAACAGATTTTAAGGCGCTAATGTCCAGGAAGCGACGTTTCCGTTTCGAGTCTTACGCAGAGCTCTCACCTAGGAAACGAATAGGCCTCATTAAGGTGAGAGCAAGTAGTTCACTACTCAATTAGTTACTACACAAACATTTTCGTTATCTAAATGCCTCTAAAGCTGCTGCCTGAGGGTTTTCAGTTACGCCTTCCTTTTCTTTGAGTAATTTCTAAGATACTAGAAAAACTGTCCATCCATCATTTCTGGAGAAACGCATCTTGTACGTAGCATCGGCTTTAGGTTATGCTATATATATAAATAAGTATATATACATATTTATTTATATATAACAATGGTGCATTAAGAAAGTCAGGACTACCACAAAACTTGATAATAAGAATATACACTCCCTAAATCTGGGCCTGTCATTACGTCCCACAAAAGCAAAGGGATCAAGATGTTTCTTATCTGCTTGTCATTTCAGAACTGACAATATATCAGCATGGTGTATAAGAACTATTTTTAGACGGTTACCTAGAAATTCATATTTTAGTTCAATCGTATTTACATGTATGTTATGTACATCATAGTAACATACATGTACAAATATACATGTATGTCACTATGAAAATGTAATTCTAAGATGTAACGTACATCCGCGATGTTACACGCAGCGGTATTTCGAGCCATTGCCTTTATTTCCGCTAACTCTTCCTCACAATTCTACGAAACAATAGGTTTTCCTCAAAGAGCCTGACTACTGAAAAGAAGATCATGTTTTCATTTTTCATCAGATAGTAACAGGCGTTTTTTGTGTACGTCTCACTGTTTCGGAACTGCAGAATTAACAAACAAGTTGCTATTAGCGTAACTAGGCTATCTCCTTACGCGTACCGAATTTACTCGGTGAACTTCCATGGTGGAACCTTTGCTCATCTGGAGAAAGGTGCTGTTAGCTGCACCATTCATTTACGATTACTACTGATCCATGTTGGAGACATGATACATAATATAGTAACAGACGAGTATTCAAGTTTGTCAAAATAATGAAATTATCAAAGCTGTTACTACAGCTAATTCAATAGTATGTGATTTCAATCAACGACTTTCGCAACAACTGACCTTTATAGAATTGAAGCGAAACCCGTTTGGCCTTGAAAGCCTGGCCTGTAACGATCTTTCGAGAAAACGAATTCGTCCTGTGTTTCCGAGTCACAACTGTTCGGTGTGATACCGTTTGTATTAGATTGGGTTGCCACTCTATCCCAGCAGAATATTACTTAGTTTTGAATAGAAACAGTTTTAGCTCAGACAATCTCTATTTATGGTGTATTAAACGTTATCAATAAACTAGTGAAAATGGTTTGTCACATTTCCTAGAAATACAAAAGCTGTAAGGATTCAAAGAGCTGGGAATTGATGGTAGAACACTCCAATTAAGGCCCGGTCGCTGTTAGTTTGTTCTTCAGAAAGTGTTAAGCCATTTGTTGTTATAGTAAAACGTGACCCCTTCTATAGGCCATAGACGAATGTTTTCCTTTCCCTAAAGGGTCGAACTATTCATGGCACATAAGTAAGGCACTGGTTTATTCGTTTGAGAAACTTATAGGAGATAACCTCTCAGTACTCCCCATAACATTCCCTTCCTAGGATGGGCTAGTTCTCGTTTAAAGAACACTACTACGCATTATCCGTGATCCTGCATGAGTTACGTTATTAGAGATTATCAATTTTTCGTTATTAATTTTTCCGCTAAATAGAATATACCCTTTGAGTCTTAGAGGATGCCCGGTTGTGCATACAGTCTACCTCAGTTGACAATCGGCCAATTATAAGGAACCCAGATGTATACTCGATTGGCACAATCGCTGCATACTGATGTCGGTCGACTTGGATGCCCTTGTACGTTCTGCAACCTAACGAAGACTCGTATACATTCTTATTGAGCACAGTTCAGCATCCTCATACTCAGAATGTCGACCAGAAACAAAGCCTTTTAACTGACCCGAACCACACTTATAAGATCTCTAAATTTGGGGGACGGGGGACGGGGGGGGGGGGTACACGCTTAAGTGAAACTTGCAAATGAATTAAACATGGCGCCAAAACAAAACTGAAATAACCTTAAGATCCAGTGAACAAATGCGTTCCTACGTCTAGCCAACTTTGTTTATGGCGCGGAAATTTCACCCGATTCACAATCCGCTATGAACTTCAGTCAGTGGAAACTGCAATTTCAGGTAACTTTTTTACGTTTCTAAATTGTAATATCTTCACTGCTTATTTACCACTACCCCATAAGCAAACCTTGTACTCTAACCAAGCAGCCCCTATTAAAACGAACTACCGTTGGCAACTACGCGAAGTGCCATTTGTAATATAATTATCAAACATTTATGTTGCATTTTACTGTGAAAGAGCGACAGTAATTCCTAATACTGGAAGTCATTCTACGTACATAAAGCATACACTGGGAGCATTCATGCACAACTCATAGGATAGGTGGTAACGTAAACGGGACTTCAAATACATTAAACTTAATGTGGAGTACGTCTCTGGCTTCGCCATAAGAGAAGAATTATTTAAAAAGATATGTACCCATAAAATTTGCTTTCGTCCATACAATTTCAACAACTCACTTTTCCCATTGAATACATGGACAAGCTTGCTCACTTGCATGGTTTTATTAATAGTACTGAGGATGGTAGCTCTATCTCTAGATATATCTAGATAGTTGATCCTTCAGGATCTAAAATTATTACAAAAAGACACTTAGAAGTTATCCGTACTTGAAATAGCGATTTGTTTTGAATTTGACGAATCGGAGAGGAGCCCTAAATTTGTTTAAGGAATCGTGTATAAACAAGACTGTTTACGAGGCTGCGCCTTGTTCACTTCCTTTAAAAAGTAAAGTTTTTTTTCCTACTAGATTATACACCATTGTACAAGCATGCTGGTCAATCAGAACAACATCTCTGTAATGTTCGGCTTACTCAAGAATAATACTGCATGTTAAAGACGTGCCAAGTGTATGCCAAGACTCAAGCTTATAGCACCATCATCAGTTTTAAATCTACCCATGGTCTATTGATATGACCTAGTCATGCATGATAGCATATCTTGCACGATTTTGCTCGTACATATAGGCAAATTAATAGATCGTAAGTAAATAGTGTTGAAATGGATTCAGGTCAAGCTACTTGTGCTCCATCATAGATGAGTAAGATATTAGAAGAACAGAAAGCTGTTACCACTGATCGTATCTCTAAAGGGTTCGAGGAGTTACCAGCGATTAGATACATAGATAGGCGTATCGTGAAAAAACATTGAATCATACTACCATAGTACACAGCCTTATCCCACTTACTTATCTGACGCCTATAGGTTAGAGCTGCATAGTCAAGAATAAATTAAGCGTAGCTTGATTATATGTAAACATTATTATAAGGAAGCCCAATTATTATGTAGACGAAAAATGAACGTGTGTCCACAATCCCGTTATGATTTATTTCAATTTTTTTCACATCAGTTCTGCATGTGTTACCTGTGGGTTGAAAAACGACCGCGAAAATTCGAAATTTCACTCTTTGTATCTCTTACCTGCATAACACTTGAACAGCGTACCCAATATTAAATCTGAAGGAGTTACGTCCTGCGCGAATCTCATGATATTTTACTATCTTTAATCGTCATTTGTTAACGTATTTGCTTGACGACCGCGATGAAGTAAAACTCGTTTATATATCTTTACGTGATCACATTGATGCCAGTGCTCCATCTGAGTCATCTCGATTCCGAAATTACGCGACTCAGATGATTTCTGTCATATCGTTCCCAATGAGGCAACCAAAATTGCTGACAAATATATAGTTACACAACCAGTTTTACCGACTACTTATCTGTGACCATTCGTGGCTGATGACAAAAGCATCAAAAGTACGGTTTCTGTAAGCTGACAACATGGATGTTCCATTAGCTAGCAGTAGGAAAATTTTATCTAAAATGCTCCTTTGATAACCTTAAGCGGGCTGCGACACTTACTCCACCAGCACTGACGGCTCATTCGGCCCTTTCTTTTGAATGCGTTTGATCTTTCCAGTGAAATAAAGAAGAAGAAAAAAAAAAGCGCTTTGGAAGCATTACAAAAGAAAGCCTAGCTAAAACCGTCACAGTCAGCTGGATGATCTCTGTACCTATTGTTTCACCGTGTAGGTCAGGGCATAGAACCTTTTGCGAGTAACCTAGTAAATGTGCGAAACTAAAAATTAATTAGGTAGAAAGCTGATACGTTTGTGGTGTTTTCTTTATTAAAAGTAAAGAAAATATTGAAAACAGAACAATTTGCTGATGATCAAGTTAATTATCATGTGATCAAAGTAATTTTGTATAGTCATTTCATACACAAGACGAAATAGGAAATTAACATTACTTATTTTATGGATGTAACTTATTCAATAAAAACTCCATATCCAACGTATTCCTTTTGGAAGTGTATATTTGTCATATTTCAACGTATGTATTCAACAATATGAACAAATAGATTGGTAACCTTATTCTCATCTGTAAATAGACGATATCGGTCATTTTCATACAAAATAGTGACGTGTTTTTATTTTAATTTCAGTGTTCTCTCCAAAGTGTATTGAGTATTGAACATTGAGAACCTGTATGTACATCATTGCTATCGCGATATCTCTACAAATGCGATCCCGCAAGAAGCTACAAACGGTCACAGAATGCTCCAGTTGGGAACGTGGTACGTGTTATTAGCACTATTATACCAACTTCAAATTTATTACGCATGATATTGTTTACAGTGTACAAGCTTTTCCATCGACTGATAATATTACTTGATACTTTGCCGTTCTTCTCTACTTGTCCGTATAAAAATAGGTTGGTAACTCGAAGATTTTTATATCTTCGAGTTACCAACCGATTTTTTGAAACGCCTGAGAGATTTTTGCTACATACATATTTATATATCTATGTATAGGAGTGATGACGTTTCATGACGGACACAAATGTCCTGTTATATAGGTTTGCCACATATAAATTTGCTTGCATCATGTAAATTAGAAAAAACAAAAAAGAAGAGTCACTGTATCCTAATTGCCCAATCTACATATCAGGGATCCATGAGAGCAGTGCACTAAAATCACACAAAGTAGCCTCTCGGTCGTAAATGATTTATCTACATAAACCGAACCCTTTCTTAGTAATAAACTGTTTATTAAACTTTTTTGCTTTTATGCTAAACGCGCTTTTTGTTTAGTATTTGTGGGCTGAAAATAGATTAATTTTATGGGTTATTTGCTTAGCACACTGTTTAATGATATTCCCTGTATTTATCTATGCTGTACTGCAATAATAGTTATTTCTTATGTATTACGCAATTAAGAGAGTATTATACAGGTGAGAGGTAATTAACATAAAACGAAAAGATACTTACAATGTATTGGGACAACCATCTAACTGGCTACGGTTACCCTCACCTACCGGTAGGTAGTACACGGAACTGTTACCGCAACCGTAGCTGTCGATCTGACAATCGATTAGTTCTAGGCCGTATTTCGAAAGGCAAAGGCGGACTTCGGTAAGCACCGGGTAGGCAAAACCGTTGACTTTCCGGCAAACTATGTTTGCCTTCGATCTAAGATTATCGGTAAGCGCCTTGTATAGTTCAACTACTGTATAGGTTCTATTAATTGTAGGAAATATGCCTTCGTCGATCAGGAAAGTTGTTACATTGTAAGTGTGTAACAGAGATAGGGTCTCATTGAAGTAACGGAACATTCCATTAACATGAAACACCTGCAGACCACAGCTACCGTGTTTCTGCCATTCATGCCGCCAAAATGCGCTTGAGTTCATGCTACGTACCGAAGGCCAGTACATCTCTAAGTCGTTACGAATGACGTCAAAAACTGAAATGTTAAAATTGATAGTCTTGTTGCATACCTTCGGCCAGGACTCTGCATTGGTCGGCCATAGGCCATGTATCGTCCAGAAAGGTCGTATGTGTTCCGAAATACAGTGGCCATATCCAGCGCAATAACCGGCCGATGTTTGTTGAGAAAATACCCAAAACCTGAACGACTGTTTGTCCGATACTAGTCGAATTTGAGCACTTCTACGGAGTGACCCGCTGAACAGTGCCGTTATGCATAAGATAGCGAACCAATATAACAACCTGGCGAAGCGGTGTGGAGACTGGAGCTCCTCTTGTTGACGTTGTTGCCGATCGTCATTCGCGGCCACCTTAATGTCTGTTTGCTGCGATGGCAAAAGTTTATAGGCGGCCAGACCGTAGACAACAGATGACGCCTGATTCATCCTGAACGAGAAATGAGAACAAATGATTCAGGTTAGGTGCAGCAGTTGTTGAGAAGTATAGAAGCTGAGAAGAAAAATCTAGATGATAGAAAAGTCGGCATTACGATGACTTAGGCGATGTGGTGTTAAACTAAATCGAATGTTTGAAGTTGAATTACTCACAGTCACGTAAAGTTCTGTAATTAACTTACTAGAACTATTTGGATACTTTCGGTGGAGCAACTTCTTATGTAGCTCAAACTCAGGACAGTGTGGTACGGCATTAGGTATCTTGACACGTCATCATCGACATCTGCATAACAAGAGCTCATAGTGGATGGGCATCCAGTTAAGGAAATAGGACATTTTATTTCTCAGAAAATAGCTGATTTATTGTCTTAACGCCAAGCAATTTTCACTTAAACGTACAATTTTAAACGTTGTAAAAAACAAAATACCGTATAAACAATGTGCATACATAGAACGCTTTAGGGACGCGAACGTACCAGGCGTGGACCAATCGAACATAATACATAAATATTAATTTAAAAATGTTTACTTCCCAATGTCCCCCGCCCGCTGGTAAAACATGCAGTAAATAAACGTTTGAAAAGGCTTAAAAAAAAACGTTTGAAAATATGTCCGCATCAATTCTGTCAACGAAGTCATACGTACATTAGTAATTTATAATTATAATTACTTATTATTACGTAATTATTACGTACATTACTGAAGCAGGCGAGCTGGTGGAACGAAGTGGGTTGGGCTTAAAAATCTGACTACAAATAGAGGAGAGCATATGCTGTGGTTTCTTAGAAAACAGCTATCGATCGTAATAGAAATCAAGATGAAGTCGCACGCCGGATTCGGCATTGTCGCTTATCGCTAATATTTTTAGTTTCAATGACGAAACAGCCCTTTTGTAAAACACGCTTGATCATAGTTGTTAATTCCATGTTGGACACACCGCTATCATAAAGTCGTTACACGTATACGTATAAACAAAGAGAGCACGACTTTGCTAAGGATGACGTTTGCTAGGCGCAACGTACTTGATGCCGATCACGTCTGAGTTTGCTCTCTGTACGCGAGAATGCTACTTTGAATAGTTTTCGTTTGTAATAAACGAGCATTACATGATCATATCGAGCAATTAGCTGCTCTAGCAAATATAGGGGATCATCAACCCGAAGCGTAACGACCCATTCGTCTACCATCTTCAGTAAATTTTAATTTACTTTCCCCGCTTCTTCAGATGTATACTACACAAAGCTATTAAAATCATTCATTAAACATCACTCATTAAAATGAGTAAAGCGTCTGCATATTTGTTTACAAATTGTTGGACCTAGCGAGAACCTGTACTATTTTCGAAGTTAATAAATGTTTGCATTTTCACACCTCTAATGCCGTTCAGCATTGCTGGCTATCAGCATAAACATAATGTGTTTATTCGAACCCAGAACCGCCAATTTCCGTTACAATTTTATTAATTCTTCCTTCGAAATAGGTACGCCTGCACAATATTAAAGTCTCACATATTTAATGTCGATCGTTTTCTAGGTAATAATGGCCTCTGGCTAATAGGTAATGATAGATCCATTAGCAAACGGCTCATCTATTCCGAGAAAGAAAGAGTTTTTTTTTTTTTTTTTTTTACTACGAACATAAACATTACATCATTCTAGTATACTACGTAGTAGGTAACTGGGTGTTTTCCGCATTTTCATTGTGATACTGATATTTTTAGCCAGTTCTTTTTTTAGCTATCGAACCGATACGCGATCCATGTAATAGAGATAGCAACATCATACGTTGGTATTAACTCGTCAGCTTTCCCGTATCATATGGCGTCCCGTCAATGTATCAACCTTCTTGATTCGACCGGTGTAACTACGAGAAGTTCACAGCTGCTAGAATTAATGCAAGGTAAATGTCATCGAACTCAAAAGCCTAGAACGGATGACGCCCATATAGGGCACGCTCGAAGGACGACTCGTAATCCGCAAAGGCCGGATATCAAAAGATTCACATGTGCCAATTCCCATATAATATACACATAGCCCTTTATCTTCAAAACTGACCTTGTCTAGGTATACGGACAGGGTGCGGTGACGGTATCTTAGGATCGATTCAATCGAGGAAATCCAGTGCTCAGTGGTTCCCGAAGACGATCGAGTTTGCGTGATCACGTAGACGTTATAATTCAAGTAAATGAAGCGGGACTCATTTTATTGCTCAAGTTCCGCAAGATGACAACCGAACGTATAGCAGGCTCGAGGTGTGTGTGAAAGAGAACAGCTAAAGCTGTGGACTTCCTGTACAAGATCAGATTTTCAACGCTGTTCACGGCTGTTCAAAATAAAAAATGAACGCAGTGCAAAAATACAACGCAAAAGTATCCTGTCATTAAAGCAGCAATCTCTCTTCAATATTAAATGAAATATTTAAAGAATTAAATAGTCAACCAATATAGGTACCGTACTCAAGCTATCATACCGAAACCTTATAATAATAATAATAATATACATACAATGAAAGCTTATAATAATATACATATGTTTTATGTTTTTCTTTCTACTAACACACTGTCTTGCTGATTTAGCAATCGGAGGCTGCCTTCAAAATATATAGTGCAGAGAAAAAAAAGTCTTATTTGCGCTTATTGTTTATCATGAGAGATTTACTATTTTCGAGTACCTTGTTTAGGACCAGGGCTAGTTCTCTACTAGAGCTATTTATTTGAAATTTATAGGAAGGCCTATCGCCACTTCAAGCTCCTTACTTTGGACCTTAGGACGATGGATCTTATCTTGCATAAGACTATTTTCAGGTGAAACGGACAAAATTTTTATTGCCGTTTATTTGTTTCCCTAGTACTTCTTGAGATTACAATTGACGGATATACTCTCAATATAAGACCATTTTGAATAACAAAAAAAAAACCCTATAGCCCCTAAAAAATGCAACACTGTATCACAGCATTAAAATCACTGCGTTTTGTCTCTCGCCGCTGACGAAGGTTCCACTCATCTGTGCCACTAGCAACCTGTCTACCCGGTGGAAGAGGCACTCGTCAGAGGCATATAAACCTGATACAGCGAACGGTTGACTACCGTTTTTACTCCTGGAGATAAAGACAATGTGTGCAAATCGTATCTTACACTGTTTCAGGTAGTTCAAGCCGTCTAGAATTTAGCGGACATCGAGTGATTATTAAACGAACGACGTAGACTGTTATTACCAATGACTGTAATAAACTATAGCAAAATACGTATTTAACTCATTCCTATAGTGACTTAATACAAACACTTTGGCCTGAATGACGCAGCAACACTAGCGTATTTCGAACAAAAAGCAATCGTGTATTTTTGCAGTATCTCTTTCGGCTCGAAAAAATTTGGGGCTGGATAATGAGCGTAGCAACTATTCATCACCATCTCTTCCATGATCACTACTGACACAAGCCCCAACTAACATAATCAAACGCACCATATGAACGCCAACGTCGCGTACAAATTTTTTATTACCATTGTTTTTTGCCTGGATGCATGAACCAACAAGATCTTCTACTTCTAGCACGGACCATCACATGGACGCCACTCTTCACCCGATGCTGAAGACGCTCTGAGCCTGTTTTCACTGATTCGAACTACGCTGACTGGCTCCTCCGTTGCAGATGTTGTTTCTATATATGCACACACACATATATATAAAGAGAGAATTAACTCACTTTGCTCTGTAGCCACAATGGCGGAAGGAATCGATCGTAACAGCGGCGATGCTTATCTACACGAAAATTCTGGTTCGTTGAAGCGGTGATTCGCTGCTGGCCTCCCTCGTAACGGTTTCTAAGGCGGCTGCTATTGGTACGTAGGCGCGGGAGACGCAGCTACCGCTCAGCTGATATTCGACTGAACTTCTACGCACTTCTGTAGTTAGAAGTAACGTCCGCTGTTTGATATGAGGCTGACAGTAAAGAGGGCAACGGTAGGTGATATTCCAGCGTGGATTACGACAATACGATGGCCAGCACTGCAAAATATAATCAATAACAATAGTAATAATAACAGCAACAAAGAGGAGGATCTTCGATAGATAAAATATATGTTGACGTTATGTGTTTGATGCGGGCCCTTTGGTAGTAAACCGGATTGGTATACTGTTGCTAGCAGCGATAATAACAACGGCAACGATAACATTGCTAGCTCCATGGATGGACGGTGGAAAACTTGTCACATATGGGTGTCATGAAACCGTGTCAGCGTCAACCGTAAACGAATATGGAATTGGCATGGAACGCGCTACCACCTACCGCCAAAGTTGTTCTCGCCTGCGACACAATCCTATATGATTATCGTCTATTCTTCTTTTATTATCGATTTGTTGGCAACAGCTTATCCGCTAACAACTTTCCTTTGTAATGGCGGCAATTACCGTAAATTCAAATAATAGTAAGCAACGATAGATCTAAACAAATAACGCCGACGAACTCACACGCTTAGGCCTTGTATGAGCCTTAACACAGTGCGGTGTATAGGAGTCATATGGGTGTATCTGGCCACGCTGGAGGGCTTTGTCTAGGTCTTTAAGAGTGTCTGTGAATGCAGACAACAGAAAACAAAAATAGTCAGAAGCATTTAACAAACAAAAAAGTGTTTTTTTTTTTTTCAGAAGCGGATTCTTCTGCCAGGATACAGCAATGACATTGATGATTATGCATATAGGATACAAAGTACATCATGTGAATCTGGTTGAGGATTTTCTAATGGCGGTTACTGATAAAAGTTATGGCTTTAGTGGATAGATTCAATATGTACGTACGAGCATGAAATACACAAACTAAATAAAATAAAGAAGACCGCCTGTCTTCCTTTTATCTATAGGAAAGCACATTTTTATTATCTAGAATTTAATGGAAAGTTTCGAGTGTCAAATCTTCTACGCTCACACCCTATGATAAATGTTCAGTTTAAGCCAATAACTACGGCTTTATATTGCAGTGTTGCGTTGAAAGTTTCCGTCCTAGCTACCCTCTCTGTAGGAGAATGCTACAAATTATTCGTGTTACTACACGGCTTATGCCTTGTTGAACATGTGGACAATGCAAAAGGCCTATCACGTCAACTCTTATTCTAGCCACAAATAGAAGAAGGTAGATTAGCCATTCAATTTAAACAAGAAGAAAAAATAAGTTATTTTCTTCACAAGTCAACCTAAATGATAATTTACATCAGTAATATCCGTTCACTTAATGGTCATAACACATAATGACCCTGAGATTTCCATATTTACTCGCGAAGTTCAACGGCGCAAGTGTCACTCACTGAAGATATTGAATCGTATATTTTTCTATTATCCACCTGATAATACGATCAGCTCACCTGACCGTAACGGTATTCGAACACGGTAGCAAACCAGCAGTTTTTAGTCGATCCATTTGGCTTCAATGTTGGACAAACGCTCCATATATACTATAATTTAGTTTAATAATTCGAAGAACTCCAAACGTATCGAAGTAGTACTTGTTCTTCACTGAATTTTTCACCGTTGATTGACCATTAGGCAAATCTCGTACTGCTATCAATAGTTCTATTTCTAAAACGATAGTAAATAATTTGCTACATACGATATGTATCTAAAGAAAAAAAAAAAAATACATCATAGAACTTATGTTAGATGTGGTAACCTACTTTTTATGTGGACATTGAACTTTTTCTAACATTCTGAGCATCTGGGTAAACAATCTATGCCACAGGACCGTGTCTAGCGATGTTACTTGTCTAGATATTATATATATTTACAATAGAAGCGTGATCATGAGCATACTGCCGTAAGGTGTTCAGGTTCCGTAAACGCCAGTAAAACGGATTTGGCTACCAGTCATTTTGGTAACGAAAACCGTTCCAAACAGCGACCTTTTTCCGGCCTAAACTAGGTAATCGATTCAAACAATAACATCCAAAAACGTCTCATGAAATAACGATTCGTCTTAGCAACAACGGTTAGAGGTCATAGTTTTTAAGACGGACAACAGACAACCATTTTACACGACCTTTTTCACGTCGATACATAAAATGTACGCAGGATAGGCAGCGAAACTGTTCGAAAGTCTTGTTGAGGTCAGTAGCTTTTTGCGGGGCTCGCCTAAGTTACTTCGTAACTTTGTAGTTTGCTGATTAATTGATCTCACTTATATATTATACTTACATAATTAGAAAGCTCTAACATAAATTCATGGTTATCGACGTTGCAATTGCCCCGTCTCACCTAGCCTGTGCGATGAGGGCTTTTTTTTTTTAACTATTGGCTAACTAAGTACTGTTTCCGAGACGCGAAGGAATAGGTCGGCCATTAGTCAGCCTCTAACGGACGCGCGTGAGTCGAAACGCTTTCAGCCGATTTCAAATAGACGTTGCAATTGTTAAGTCGGCTAACTTATCTATTCTGTTCCTGGAACGTATGCAGGCCTTTCAAGTTTTCTTTGAATATATTTTTATTTGTCACAAAAGTAATTCGGACATATTACGTCAGCTGAAGACAGTTGCTGGGCTTCTTCCACTAAACTTAGATTGATGATCTCAGTGGTATTTTCCGTCGTTTGGCACATTGATTTAGTTCCTTTTTTAAAAGTAACTCGTTATCGTACATATTAAGCTAAATAAAATAATGTCGAAAACGTTTGGTTTAGATTATCCTAGTATTTTGTTTGACATACTGATTCAATGTACAGGATTTTTTTATATTTCTCTCTGAAAATGAAGTAGCGATGATAAAATATTGTTTCAAGTCAGAAATTTACTTAGATATCAGAGACGTGTTTCACTCCATTGTTACATATGCGGACCACTACAACCAAAGAAACTTTCGCTAAGTTGAAAATACTCGTAGGTCTGTGCATTATTGCATCGTGATTCAGCTCGTCGAGATTTAACGATGACATCAAGAAAGCCCCCCTTACACGGAGTGTCATGTCAAGCTCTTACCGTTAAAACGTTATTCCCGATCTAACTACTAGGATTAGAGTGTGTGTTGCATTTAAATTTAGCTCATCGAGAGCTCTCGATTGGTACCAAGAAATACTGTTCTACATAGGAGTACATGTAAAAAAAATCGTCTACCAGTATCACATGGGCGAGAAAGCTATCGCATTCGGTCTTTGGCTTTTCGGACGCCAAACATTTTACATTAATTTTACGTAAATATATATTTCAGCCGTAAACATTTTTACCCAACTAGATTGGCGTAAGAGAGTTTGCGTCGACAAAATGATATTTCTCATGGAAAAAAATTGTGTTTCATATTTTAGCATTTCTCTTGCGAAATTTTTGCGAAAATTGCGATTTTTCGAAAAAATGTTCATCGTCATAACTTTTCAATTAACATTTATTAGAAATTCGCTCGAAAAAACACTCAGAAGAAATAGATTGTTAGTTTCACGCCGGCAAGACTGACTTATTTTCCCGCCGAAATATCAATATTAGTTATAGAAACACGTGTAGCATTTTGATTCAGCTCTACGAGGTCTACCAGCTCGCATAATATAAATACCCCCCGCATAGGCATCGTTTTTGCTTTTCGGGAGCCATTTTCAACTTTATCTAGTTTATCTAGAGGGATATATACAGTACTTGGCTTTGGTCAGCAAAAACGCTGAATTGGTGAAAACTATGATCCCCTCTCCCGCCGGCCCTACATTCGCCTGTTTTTTTTTGTCAATAGGAAACGGTTTTTCTTTACGAAAACCCCGTCAACCACCACAATTCTAGGCCACTACCATGCGTAAAAGGTTTCTGCAAAAAAACAGGCTTCAAATAGGCAAAATTAACGACAGAAACAATTTACACTACATTCCGAAGGATGTGGTAAACAAATTATCCCGGAAAACGCAATTCAATCTGCTCCATCCTATGCGCAGCTCTTCCCAGAATGAAATCTTAACGTCCCGTTAAATTAACCCAATCAACCTCTATTTTGACTGGTCGGAAAAATAAGGTACGTAGATAGATAGGGTTACTTGCGAATTCGTAGTATTAGCCCACAATGGGTACAGCCAGCGCGAATCCCACTGTCTCCGCGACTCGATCCGTAAGATACCTGAAAGGGTTATACTCTATAAAAATGCAATTTCATATTCTTACACTTACACGGTGCACTGAACTAATCAGCAAAAATTAAATTGTCTAACTACAGCCTAAAGTAAAAACAAAAAAAAAATCTAGAGTAAGAGCTCCGTTTCCATTTAAAGTAAAGTGCATTTCAAACGAACTCTTTGCCAATCTAATATTTATCGAAGACTCGCTCTGCTTCATACTTATACCCACTTATAAAAATCCTTATCTTTTCATTTATTGGCGTCAAAGTTATATTCATAGACAGCTGAAAAATCTGACCAGTTTACTCCGCCGTTTTCACTGAACGTTATAGCACGTAAAGCACGCTTTACACAAAAGAGCCAGTGGTCGACTCCTTTCTTTCCGAACAATACGATGAGGGCTGCCCGTCTGGAAAGCCGTAGATGACAGAACGACGTCAGACGACCGATATCTGCATCATTTCGTTATCAACTGGAAAAAATTATAGTAAACTATATTGTCCTTCCAGGGCCGGTACGATGATGCTACACGAAGGACCTTTAGCAACCTTCGTGATTTGTACTACAAATGGCTGCTCGAAATGCAAACAACAACAACAAATGTCAGCATGTCCCGACGTTGACTGGAACGTATTTTAAGCTTCTGAAAATTTAAGATCTGAAAATTAGAAATAATTAAATATCAGAAAATTGGACAAAATTTGCGATGAGAACGTGTTATTGCCAGACAACTAACTAGTGCCCTTCTGTTTCCGAATGAACGATGTTCGGTGTCGCTCTGTCTCTACACAGCTCGACAACGCCTGGTAATGAAAAGCAGCTATCATAGAGAAACCAGCTTCACTGGAATAACACAAATAACAAATACGGTATCTTCACCGAGCTTCTGAGGACTGTTGCCATGATGCATCTAAGAAAAGAACATGTAGATTAGCGCCCCGCTCGTAGACCAGCGAAGTTTTGATGATGAAATACTCGACTGGCCCGTCTGTGTTCGGTACAAGCAGCGAAGCCATGGCGAAGCAATTGATCTCTATTGAGTAGCAAAAACAATTAGTCAGTATACGTAGCAAACATTATATGCTGTTTACTTGAAATCACACACTTGGCTCGGGTCATTCACTCATGAGATTTCGAAATACTGCACGTGGCCAATGCACGCAAGCTTTGGTGAGCTGACCTGGAAGGGAGGTGGGCGGGGCAGAAACAGCGTGCTTGGAGGTTTGCTGCGGATTTGGCGACGAAAGGATCGTTACTATTATTTCTTTATTCCGGACATAAATGATTCAGGCAGTTGTCAACTTGAGCGGAATAGGTCATATCGTAAAAGGTGAACTATTAGTTATTAACAAAAAGAGTGGTTGATCCTTGTAGGTAATGTATTAGCATCCT